AATTTCCTCACGTCTTTTATTACAGATTAATAAATAGTGCTCCGATTTCGCAATAAGAACGAATTATTTATCAAAAAGTAATCAAGAATAATCACCTAGAGGGTATTCTGCGACACAATTAGGCTCAAGCTGTAAGAGAAAATTCCAATTAGTAGAGAAATTAATTTGAAAAATTACCTTGACGCTTCGATAGCTATAGCGATAGAAAATATATTTTCTGCGATTAATGAACTTTTAAATGACAAAAGTTATTCAAAATTAAACAAAAATCCAACAGAACGTTTTGAAAGACAAATTTATAACACTTTAATCTGTAATAAAAGACGTGAAGAAATTCTGTCTTTTTTGAAGACAAAAATCTTTTAGGCAAAATACCCAAAAAGAAGTTTGTAAAAAAAATGGTGCACTACTGATGTATTTGTGAACTAGTTTGCGTGTTCATTCCTTGATTAATTCCAAATAAAAAAACTCTTGAGTGTTTTTTGGAGAACGCATGATTTTCACGTAAATAAATTAAAATTGTATTGTTGTTTTTAGACCACCCTGTATAAATACATTTGGTAAAAAAGATGGCATTTAAAGGTAAAAATTGACGACTCCGAGACTACGTTTGTGATCAACGTTTTGACCATTTTTCGGTTATTTATCGTAAATCTTCTCAAAAGTTTCATTATACAATTACAGTTTCTTCAATTTTCATATTCTCATCAACTTGTTTAAATGCAAATTGGAAAATGAACCGATAAATCAATATATAGATCAATACTCTTCAAGGATTTGTAACAGTTTTGTCGTTTTTGCCCGCAACGTTTTGCGCTCGTTTGCCGCCACCGCCGCTACGCGTAGCGAAATTCCGCTACGGCTGGCAACTTGGATGGCAACCTGAATGACCAGCACACAGCCTAACCAATCAAACACTCCAGATTTTAAATAAAAATTGCTTTTAAATCCAAGTCGAGCCTGTAACTCTGTGGGTAGTGGAAGCGACGCCCGACGTCACAACCGACGTCGCGCAAAAAGAAGCGTTTCGCGCCTGCCTGAAACTGAGCGATAAGCAAGCGCCGCTTCCGAAAAACAGCGCTCATTAGTTGCGGTTCAGCTTATCAAGCTGGTCGGGCAAAACACATGACCGAAGGGTGGTAAATCGGGGGGAAATTCAGGGGCTACATTCATATAGTGGCGCTTTTCTACCGGACTTCGAAGGACTTTTTTTCTTCGAAAAAAAGGTAAGTCTGGCGCACTTTGGGGGGGGATAATTGCCAAAAAGGAGCCCATTAAAGAACTGTTTTAAACCGCTGGTAAAGTGCTCATGTGAGTGAGGGCTGGAATTGCAAATACGCCCCCTTTGCCCAACAGCATACGGGCCAGTTAAACCGGGAATTAATCCAATTAAACACTGTGGGGAAAAATTGCTACACCGTCGGGCTGAAGCCCCCAGAAGATGAAAGAAAAAACAAATACTTAACTCAAGAAAATCGATCAAAAACCTCTAGATCAGACGGTTTGTTATTGTGTGGGTTTCAACCCTTTGAAGCCAGTGCTATTTCTACTAGCGAAATCGATCGGCTGGCGTGATTGAACATTGGCCAGACCATCAACCTGGAAAATATGCATTTTCGTGCATCCGAAAAGTCATTGAACGCAAATTTCAAGCATCTTCATCTGGTCGTTTTGAGCACAATTAATTGTTTCACTCGCTCAATTGATCTAACAAGTCGGCTTCCTGATTCGAGCGGCAAACAAAAGAACTCTTCCCTGCCGAATTAAGTCACGTAGAGGAAAACCTTGGCGAGATGAGGGCCTGCCCTTAACAGTGCCTTCCTTGTTCTTTCCCGTGTTGTATACAAAACAACTTTATTGATTTTTCGTGACCCATTTTTGGGAGCCTCTTTCATTGCTGAGCTGCAAGAACTGGGCCAACCCTTAACCCTCAGACCCTTGAAACTTAATCCCTGCGGGCTAATTTATTAGGGGTATTAAGGGGACGACTAGGGCAAGGGAATGCTTGGCTAGCATTTTTTTAAATCATTTTTCCCGCTATCGGGTTGTTTTGAACGCATCCTGTATAATGGTTCGGGTGATTTCTTGCATAAACAAGTGCAACTTCATTTTTGAATAATATTGGCGCACSATTTTGCATGAGTAGCACTTTTTGGTCTTTTTTGCGGTTTYCCTGATTCAAATTCACCAATCAAATCAATCAGTAGTGCTTTTTACGTTTTTTAATCAATCAGTAGTGATTTTACGTTTTTTTGTATGCAATTGTACCAAACAAATTTGCTAGAATTGGTTGAATAACAGATAATTTTTCCAAGGTTTGTTTGAGTTTGAGTTCGACTGAGTTTTTTTGGCACCGTTTAAACTTCAACTTTGCTGAAAATAATGGGATTGTTTGTTTGAGTTTGTCTGAGTTGGTTTGGCTTAGTTTGGGCTCAATTTGTTTCGGTTCATTTGAGTTCGATCAAGTTTGAATGATTGGGTTCGTTTGTGTTCACTTGTGTTCGATTCGTACTGAATTAATGTATGATTTTTATGGATATTCGAGTGACGCGAAAGACGCAAGCAAACAACAACTAGAAAATTAAGAAAACCGAAAAAGACTGTGATTTGAGGCATGTTTTTGAAAAGTCAACTCGAGGCAAAGACGAAAGGAGAAGAGAAAGAAGTTTTATAGAATTTTAGTCAAAACAAAAGAAGAATTTGTACCTGCTACCTTTCGATTGAAAAACTCACTCGATTAGATTTTAGTCCCATATAAAGGTTCAGCCCAATCGTTTTTGAAAGTTTCTGGAAGACGATATGAAAGTGCCTAATTAAAAAGGTACGAGCACGCGGCAAAAAATTGTATATATTTTCTTTTCATGATTTCTTTTAAATTCTTATTGGCATTTTTTCCTGAACAATTTGTGTATTTTCACTTAGTGCGATATAGCGGCAAAGCAGGCCTTTGAATTGAAAATAAGTCAAATTTATAGCGCAAAAGCGGGGATCTAAAATGTACTCAGAACCACATGAAGCTCAGAACACTTTCCGACTTAAATATTTGAAATTATTTATAGATTTTCGCATTATTTTTAAAATACTGCTCGAATGTTCTAAGCACAGCCACAAAATGTGTCATTTTGTGAGGTGCAAAACTCTATAGTAAAAAAATGTAGCAATTTCAATCGCAAATAAGCGAAACTCGAATTATCCACTAAAGCTTTCTAAACAAATTACACATTTTGCCTAAATTTAAAATTACTTTCAATTGATCAGAACGAATGTCCATTTTTGCATCAGTAGTTTCCAGACTCACACGATTCCAAAAGAAAGAATCCTTCTGGAGATTTACCGTTTCGGAGCTTCGGAAAATGAATCTAAAAAAACTTTTAGTGAGGATTCTTGTGCTGTTGTGAAGCATTTACCATGAGGAATTTAAGTTGTTTGCAATTAAAAGTGTTGTTTTACGTGTGTGTTACCAATACGTACAAAAAGAGAAACGAAATACATGTAAAAGAACTTTTTTTAAATTCCAATTCACTCGTTTTTCTGTCGTTTCTCTCTTTTGTTTTTAGCTTAGTTGAACTCTTCTTCACCCTTTGCCCTCACGCTTTGTTCCAGCGCTTTCCTTCTCATTAATTCATCAAAATCCGACTAGTGCTCGCTATCTACGCCCAGTTCTAAATGTTTTTCGTTCTTCACTTAATTCCTTTAACACTGACCTTGCAGCCTTGAAGGGTACTAGTTTTTCAGGCCCGTTTCATTGAAACCATCTCACATGAGACAGATTTAATAGCAGCATGGAGAACCGAGCTTTTTTCCGATCCATCTAATTTAAACTAAATGGGTTCTACGGACATGTAGAATCGCTAGATTGCTTCTTTGTTTACCGCGGTAAAGTAGGCCATCGGATTCGGTCATGGTTGGCCGATATTTTTTGGGATCGGTAGGTTCTACTAGTCGGCTACTTTAGACTATAGATAAGACAAGTCTTAGACGCTTTATGGAGTTGAGGGCAGGAAAAACTCGTCCAACTTGCTAGGGATTTACACTGTTGCACTGCTAATTGTGCTGTGCAGTAACCGATAATTTTTTCTTTTTTAGAAACAGTTAAGGCACTCACTTATTATGCCACCTATTAATAATTGCTGCCATTATTGCTAAATCGCCAAGTTTTAATTATTGCAAAATTGATAAGTTGAACGGTTTGTTTCGACGCCTAATGAGGTTGTTCGGGGAGTGCAACACATTTCCTTTGGTTTCGTCAGTGGCCATTCGATCTTGGATCAGTTTTGCGTTTTGTCCGGAAGCGTTGCATTATAACTTTGTCAGTGGCCGGATTTATCATAAATTTTACGGTTTAATTAATGTGGATTTTCGGGTCAAGACTGGCCTGGATAGGAACCAATTCAAATAACATCTTTGAAAGGATGCACTGCAATCAAGTGAAGCAAAACCAACGTCCAAAAGTTGGCGCTTTAATAAAACCGTTAAAAGGCATACATAAAACAAGATTTTAAAATCAGGGCAGAGACAAAACGGAACACAAGCTATAGAGAACAATTAGATGCAAGATTGAAGCGCATTTTCTCTGCGTGATTTTTTTTAAAGGCCTTAGATAAAACCGAATTTTTGCGAAATCAGGTCAGTCCTTCACGTAATTCGAGGCGATGGTCAAAACTTTTTTCTAGAAAAACTTTTTTAGAGAAATTTGGCAACGTCATTAAAATCGCCACTAAGAATGTTTAGTAAAACATCGCCAAACAACATTTAAAAGTTAACAGATTCTTTCAATGTTCCAATTTTTCCAACGTTGTTCCAGGCTTTTGCAATTTTTGCCTGTAATTATCTATATTTTTTCAATTTCCCAAACCCAAAAACGAAAAAATAGTTCTCAAGAAGCTCTATCGAAAAGTTCCTAGTGTGTATTCGCCCAATTTAAACTTCTTCAAACCCTTAAGATTGACAATTTGACTTCTATCTTTTTACAGGTTGTTCAACATATTTCAATATTTTAAACTATTTCCGAAATACCGTTGAAAATGCTCCAAAATTCATCAAGTTATTGGCTTATCCCAAACATTTTAAAGGTTAGAAATTTCTGATAAAACCTCGTAAGGGCCAAGAGGTCTTGAGACGCTTTATCGGAACAGTCCTAAAGGTTATTGACGCATTTTCGACCGTTTCTGAGAAATAAACTGTTAAACTTCTGCAGCCCCTGGAAACTGGAAAAATGTTCGAAAGGTTAGGAATTTTGGGAAAACCTGAATAGGAAAAGACAGGCCTAAAGACGCTCTATTGAACATGATCTCATAATTATTCAGAAATTTTAAACARTTTTCGAGGTATCACCGCTTAAACTGGAACAATTTCTTAAAGTGAAAAGTTTCACTTCTATCTTTTTAGAGGTTAGGAATTTCCGTTCTAAGCAGTGAAAGTAGGCATTGCAACGAAAATCACTCACTGACAATTAGTCAGATGTTTTCAACTCTTACAATGAAAGTTCCTGAAACTTGATCAAGTTTTGCTTTTGTCTCTTTGAGGTTAAAATGTTTGAATCAACCTCAATACGGAAAAGATTTGGAAAATCTYTATAGAAACGTTTTTTAGGACTCCTCAGATATTTTYGCTTGTTTCCRRSGGATTTCAACTTTAGTGTTTCCTCACTTTAGCTTCGAACTGTTCACATGCTTGCTTCTATCGCTTTAAAGGTTGCGAAYTTCTCATCGAATTCCTATATTTTTGCATATTAAATGCTTGATTCAATGYTTAGTAKTAAGTTARGTGTTTAGTTTAAGTTCGTAAAATKTTCAATTTTCTGGGCACATTGGGAGGTTTTTCTATTCGAAACTTTTCTACGCTTATCTCTTGGTAAAATTGAGCTGGAAATTTTTCAATAGTTGCAGTTGACCCTCATTTTTTAATAGACAAGAATTTCGTCGGTGTGATCCGAGCAAGAAATCATGTAAGATTTTCGAGGTTCTCTAACCTCAGGCACCCCCAGGACCCCAGGCGTGGGGGTGCCTGAGGTTAGCCAACTTCGAAATTTCCACTGTTTTACCTAATTTTCTACCAAAGTTCGAATTTTTCCAAATCCCTGAATTTCACTCTCGCACTGTGTGCTTTGATTAGATACTCGTGTAAGCAAACTCGATTAATCACACAAATGGCCGGGACAAGTAACTTTGGCTTGACGAAAACGGGCGAAAAGTTCGCAATTTCTATGTGTTATTTTCAGCTTTTGMTATCACCTTGATCYCTGATAATACGGATTAAAGACATCTAGCAGATAGGCAAATRGAGAACCTTATCGGGCTTGGATTTTCACTGGTAATTGCTRCATTTGAAGCCCCCAAAATCAYGGAGTAACATTTWTTTTTAATGTAATGCAACAAATTATTWGACATTTACATTCCAGTGTTTAATGAGCGTTTAAAAAGTATATTTAAYCGTTTCAAAACTGGATAGAATTTMAATTTGAAAAACCATTGTTTTTCTATCCAAKGCCTTAGTCTTCAATRGCACTTTTAACATCAGCAAWWAGGAAAAAAATGTCAAGAAAGTAACGAGAAATAATACGCAAAATTAATTTTAACAATTGTGAGAACAAGAAAAATTTACGACTKTTCTTTGGAATTAATTTATTCATTCTGGTTTGGGGTTTRTCTTGTATGTTGTCTCARATTTATGTTTTCTTGCCAAATTTAGCCGAACGAAACGTTGTTGTGAAAAAATKTTCAAAAAGGGATAAATCGCCTGGAACTCACTGGTCAATAGGYTTAGAGGAAAAGGAAAGRAAAATACACTTTGACCTCCTCTATTCAGCGGCTTGTTTGAKATATTTGCATTATTTTATCTGGAAACGCTCTGCATAACTTTCCCAATGTAATCGAAAAATTTTGTTTTATATTGGCYAAAACTTAAAACCTGTTGCTAGCGAAATAGAGCAGAAAATTKYYTGWWWTCCGTCKGAAAATCYTTTTTAKTYWACGAAGACTTGACAATGKATTCCCTACTTTTAGACTCTTTTCTGTCTTGGTCGATGACTTTGTGTTTGTAAATTCCCTGACTTCTTCACAATTTCGGAAAATTTCCTGGGGGGCGAAAATTAAAAAACATTCTTGACTCAACGGCCAAAAGGTGCTTGTTTAGTCCGCGAACACTTCCCTCAAAATCCTCTTGCTCAAGCCAAAAGAACCTTCAATATAATTGGCAATATCCCATAATGAAGAAAAAATAAACCATTAAAATAATTACTTTATAGCTTCGTAATTACTTTACATTTGACCGGCGGGTTTTATACGTGGTAGAAGCAACAAATAACCGAACGGATTCGAGGTATCAAACTGAACCACTTAAAAAGCCTTAATGTTATCAACTAAGCACTTGAAAAGCTCTGGGCAAATCTCTACTAGGAGGAACCGTTAATCCATCGACTCGATTATTTGATTAATACGATTCAAACGTAAATAATCAGCGACAAAAATAAATATTTTCTCCACCCCGTATGCAAATAAACCAATTCTTGACTAATCAATTCATGGGTGTATATGACGGTGCCCTCTTAAGTCACAGTGCTTTACATTCGGCTCAATGAGTAAGATTTGCTTATAATAAGCTCTTTTGTTTACTTGTTTGACCAAATATTTCTGTATGTAGTGATTGTTGTTTAAAGTTTACTTTACTCGTTAGCGATTGGAGGGAAATGGACAGACGGTAAGAGTACACAGTGCGGAAAATATTGCGAACTTTTCTGGATTTATTCATCAGGACTGTCAACAAAGAAAGAACTGAAGACAGTTTTTGTTGTGCTTTTTAAAATGCTCGGAGGTCATTAAAACCATAAATTTAAAGTTTCGGGTTTCGTGAATTTAAAGTGTAAAACACGCACGTTTGTTTAGAGCCAATGGCACATTCTGGGCCTATAATTAATGATGAATTAGATGGTTTTCTAAACATTTTTAAGGTTCGAATAATTGAGACGCCGAGTATTTAGGAAAAAACCATTAAACCACTTTTAATCACCAGCAAAGTTTAGAGCATGCGAGCAGTGATTCATTTGGCAATAACTTCTTTGTTTTTATGAAATTGCAGTTATTTGTGGTGTAAAGGGGCCGATGAATAGACAGCGTTTCGTTAGAGTGCGGAATGGAAGTGATCAGGTAAGAAAAAAAGCAAATTTTACGCAGAAAAACAGGAGGATGGCCAATAAACGGCTCCTAATCCCTGCCATAATTTGCCATTGTTTCGCCCATAAGGAATCCTCCCTGATAGCGATTATGAGCAGATCGTAAAGCGATTTCAAAATGTTTGACAATAATTAACGAGCGATTGTCTATGGGAAATTAGGATTAAAAGTGCCGTGAATCGACACGAACGAAGCGATAATATACCACCTTGTATAATCCTTTAAGCTAATACGTGTAGGTTACTTAGTGTTAGTTAGTTAATTAATACACAAAAACTTTGGTGTGTTTTCTTGGGTTTAAGAAACCATTTTGAGTAGGGAAACGCAATTTTATATTGTGAATTTTTCAGCTCACCTGGCCAATCAATTATTTGCGTTATTAGGTCAGAGACGCAGGAAATATGCGGAATCTTCTGGTAGTGGTTAGCGATCTTTGAGCAAGTTTTCCTTCCAAATCCGGCAGAAACCTGCAACAAGCGATTTTTAAGTGATTTGTTGCAAATTCATCGAGAATTATTTCAGCGCTTGAGTTTTATCGGCAAATTTTAGATCAAAATACCTAATTAAAAAAAATTAAAACAGACTTGGTTAACTGGGAAAAGGTGCAAATAAGCATTTTTTCTTAACCATATTTTTAAACGTACAGGGAACGAAAAGTGTGTTTAATAATCCTTTTTAAATTTTCAGCTCTTTTGTGTCTCTTCTCGTTGAGAGTCCGGATGAATCCAGAAAGGAGGTGATTTTGAAAATTCCCCTTGAAGGCGCCAATCCATCACATTTGTAAGTTATATTATTTTTAATAAATTTATTTCTTGCTCATTTATAATTTCTTGTGTTTTGCAAATTCAACACCCAGAACCATCGATCACAAAATGTTGGAAGTTTTCTCAAAAAAGTCTTGATTTTTAAGAGAAGTTTTAGATTTGCGTGTTTTTTTTGAGTTGCAAAATCGACTCAAACGTGACGCGCTATTTTCGAAGTTTCTCAAGAACCATTTGAGGCACGGAATTTGTTTTGGCATCGTTGGATAGAGAATTGAAAATTCGATTCAGTTCTAACAACATGAGTGAGGAAATTCAAGTAGTTTTGACCCAGAAACCGAAATTTAAATATCAGGCACTTAGGTGCAAGATGATGCCAAAATTTCATGTTTTCTGTCCCGTTTTTGCTCATTTCTCGGCAACAAAATTAGCCATAACGATACTTTTTACATCGTTCCAGAGAGAAATGAATGGTCTTTCTAGAACGGGAATCATCGATCAGAAAATGTTGGCAGTTTTTTAAAAAAAGTCTTGTTTTCAAGAAGTTTTAGATTTGCGTGTTTTTTTTTTGAGTTGCAAAATCGACTCAAACATGACGCTGCTTTTTCTAAGTTTCTCAAGAACCATTTGAGCCACAGAATTCGTTTTGGAATCGTTGGATAGAAAATTGAAAATTCGATTCAGTCGTAACAACATGAGTGAGGAAGTTCGAGTAGTTTTGACCCAGAAAGCGAATTTAAATATCAGACACTTAGGTGCAAAATTATGCAAAAATTTCGTGTGTTCCGTCCCGTTTTTACTTATTTCTCGGAAGCAAAATGAACAAGAACGCTCATCTTTACATCACTCGAGAGAGAACTAAATGGCCTTTTTAAAAACTAAACCATCGATCAGGAAATGTTGCAGGAAATGCAGTTTCAATTTTCAATAGCTCTTCAGCTGCTTCAGCTGCTTCAGTTTCTTCAATATAATTCCATTTTCCCAGGCATGTTTGGCCACCGTATTTACATAAATAGAGACCCGGAAATGCTTAAGAAGTGCCCATTTTCCTGGCGAGTCATTAAATTTCACAAGGAATGCGGATTTGACCGGCAAATTTCCACATCTAGATCCAGGCTATATTTAAATTGTGAATTCCACTTAATCTGGCTGGTTGTGAAATGGGTTCGCTAAATTTAGCGGTTGGTTCATTTTGGGTGAAGGTGAAATTTCGGTTTTCCTTTTGGTTGAAGGATCGAATTATATGCCTGGATCGGTTTGCAGCAATTGCTCCCAATTTAGACTCGCAAACATGTAAATTTCCATTGCTTCTTGTTCAATCAGCGGACTGAAAATCAAATGGATGCGTAACGCTTGCGACAATAATAGTCTATAAATACACAGAGTGTCTATGTATTTAAGGACTAAGTAGTTACGATATTTGCGATTATTCTAGTTGTTCTAATTAGCGCCCGACAAAGAACACCTTATCGCGAAAATATCAACAATATTTATGGCGCATTATCTGCAAATATACGAAAACCTTGTTGGTATTGGGAAAACTTGCCTGGCAATTCGGGTTCGTGGACTATGTAGCATATTGTCTAAACAAAAACAAAAAAACTAGAATATTGCCTAAATTGATTTTTGAAGAAACTAAAAGAGTTGCTTGCAAAACTCCACATTGAAGCCAATTTATCTGTTTAATTGCGTGATTTAATTTTATGTAAATTATTTATTTCTTATATATTTATTCATTACAATACGGTTTTAATGCGACACACTCTATAATACGAGCGAATACACTTTCAGGTGTTCCTTGAATATGCAAAACCTTGGGTTCTGAGAGTAAGCGGGAATGGTTTATGGTTAAGCATTACCAATGTTTTGCATTTCCTGCAAATTTCTGAGGTCATCCAATAGTGTTCCATTAGACGACGATTTTTCCGGCAGTTTTATTAGTCGGCTAGAATTTCCTTGCTAAAACAGCAGCTCACGTTTCTACTGTTTCCCTTAATAATTGAAACGGTTCAAAAAACTGAATCCATGCATCCTGTACATAAAGAGCAAACTAACTTTTCACGCCTTATAAAATCTCCTTAATCTCCTTAATAGAAAAATGCACCAATTGGATACAAGTCAAAGATGAAACTGATGAATTTTTCGGGCTTTTAAAGGGTCGTGGATTTCTTCCTGACGTTCCGCAAGCACGAATGGTTTGCATCTTCAGCAAAACGTTCTTAGCAAACGACCTCTGAAGATGCACGTTACTGGTACTGACAAAACGTCAGGACGAAATGCCCACGACGGCCTAAAACCGCGAAAATATCATCAGAACTCGTTCAACAAATCAAAACAGCCAAACAGAAAAATAATATAATCGAAATATTTATGACAATTAGCAAAAAATTTCGACTATTAGAGTGTTCGCGTGAATCGATATGGCTCATGGAAATGGGAGAAATGCTAAACAAAATCGCGTGCATTTATTTGCTCACTTTTTAGAGATCTAATGTGAATTTCCATTTGAATGTCTATACGAAATCACTGGCGTTAATACAGTTAACGCCAATGACGTCGATTTTTCTGTGTAACGACAGAAAAATTAATTCTAATTAAAAATAAACACAGACTTCCAAAGGACACATTGTTTGTTGCATCTTTTTTTATTAATTGGACTGCTTAATTTTCAATTACAAAATCGTCAAAATTAAATCAGTGCGCATTTCTGGTAGTTTTGGTGTAAAGAAAGAGTAAAATTTAAAAAAACTACCCAAACTAAACAACAAAATTCTTCCTGGAACCCACCACAAACAGCTAGAGATAAAAATCCACATTTCCGTAAGTAGGCACTTGTGTAACTAAAATTAATTCTCAATCACTGTTACATTTGCTACTGATCAGAAAATCGCTCCTGCAGTTTCCGATTTGACCGTAATTTTCGACTCTTCTTTTCCTAAGCTGCCGCCAAAGACGATTGCTGATCAGATCAGCAGAATCAATTACAAGAAATATACCGGGAAGTTAAAGCGTAAATTACCATATTTGGGAGCAGAAATTCCAATCGCATGCATAAAACATGAGTTTGGTTTACATAAAACATAAAAATCACCTCGTTCTCGGTGCTCCCCCCATTCAATGATAAAACAAGCACGCGTTTATCTCCCATATTGTTTGTGTGATTAAATAGAATCGACTGATATCCATAAGTACAATAATTTTCTCATACTTCCAGTAGTTCACATTCGAGGTATGATCGGGGCTGGCATTTCACATGCAGCCGAAAAAAGTTGTATAGAGTTTGCTCAAAAATAAGAATGTGTCTGTTTTTCAGGTCGGCTAAAATGGTTCAGGTTGCCCACGATCCGCAACAAGAAAACGGCCCACTCATTGCCAGAACAAACACAGAAAATATACCGGATGATCTGAAAAGAAACATGGTGCCATCAGTTACTGATGATGCCTACAAGGTGGTCACAAGGTAGGGGACTCGCTTGGGTTAAATTCGGCCAGCAGCCACCAAGTTTTGGCCTCCCAAATCGCCAGATTTAAATTGGATGAACAGCGATTAAACTGGATGAATCCCTTGTTACTTGTTTCTTTTCTGAAAAGTTTACAAGCTAACAGCGACTTTAATGAATATTTGTTCACAGTTGTTTTACACAAATATACTGGGTGATACATGCAGATTATGAAGAGTAAAATATCAAATAAACTACCGCGAAAAACTGCTTCTTTAAAGGGCTGGGCTTTCGGAGGAGAGCTCTTAAGGCGATTTTTTCGCAATATTTCCTAAACTAAGCTCTTAACGAGTAGCCTTGGAAGTTTTTCAAAGTATTAGTACAAATCCCCGTTCGTTCACTGAAGGGGTTGGAAAGAGATCCCAGATGCTTTCCAGCCCTGGAGCTGGACGAAATTTTCAGGAAGTTGAAAGTAAAGTTTCGGTTGCTCAAGGCTCAAATTTCAACTTTGTAGCTCGATTGATTTGGAAGTTGTGAGTTGGGGATTGTTCAAGCGCACAATTTCTTAAAATCCCCTTTAGATCATGGACTTGCGACAAAGTTTTCGGAAAGTCAAGCGTTTYTTCCAATAYAATGTGTAAATTTTTAAAAATTGTTTCCCCTTTCAAGCCTGATTAGAGTTTCAAGAACAGTGAAGTTTCTGCCACTAGAAGCCGAATGGTTCGAATAGTTTGGAAGCTATGAGTTGTTAATGTTCAAGAGCGCAATCAGCTCATACAAACGTCTGACTCTGGAATTTTTTAAAATTCTTTTCCAGCCTGGCAACAGGGTGAAATCTTCTGAAAGTTTGAAGAAATGTTTCCACTATCGGGAGCCCAAATTTGACTTTTGTAGAGAAAGGAGTTTGGAAGTTGTGAGCTGTTGAATTTGCGAGTGCACCATCGGCGTTTTTCTCAATATCTCAATGTGTAAATGTTTTAAAATTATTTTCTCTTTCGAGCCTGATTAGAGTTTCAAGAACCTGAAAATGAAGTTTTTGTCACTAGAAGCCGAATGGTTCAAATAGTTTGGAAGCTATGAATTGTTAATGTTCAAGAGCGCAATCAGCTCATACAAAAGTCTGACTCTGGAATTTTTTAAAATTATTTTCCAGCCTGGCAACAGGGTGAAATCTTCTGAAAGTTTGAAGAAAGGTTTCCACTATCGGGAGCCCAAATTTGACTTTTGTAGAGAAAGGAGTTTGGAAGTTGTGAGCTGTTGAATATGCGAGTGCACCATCGGCGTTTTCCTCAATATCAATGTGTAAATGTTTTAAAATTATTTTCTCTTTCGAGCCTGATTAGAGTTTCAAGAACAGTGAAGTTTCTGTCACCAGAAGCCGAATGGTGCAAATAGTTTGGAAGCTATGAGTTGTTGATGTTCAAGAGCGCAATCAGCTCATACAAAAGTCTGACKGGAATTTTTTTAAATTMTTTTCCAGCCTGGCAACAGGGTGAAATCTTCTGAAAGTTTGAAGAAARGTTTCCACTATCGGRAGCCCAAATTTGACTTTTGTAGAGAAAGRAGTTTGGAAGTTGTGMGCTGTTGAATATGCGAGTGCACCATCGGCGTTTTYCTCAATATCTCAATRTGTAAATGTTTTAAAATTATTKTCTCTTTCGAGCCTGATYAGAGTTTCAAGAACYTGAAAATKAAGTTTTTGTCACTAGAAGCCGAATGRTTCAAATAGTTYGGAAGCTATGAGTTGYTGATGTTCAAGAGCGCAATCAGCTCATACAAAAGTCTGASTCTGGAATTTTTTAAAATTCTTTTYCAGCCTGGCAACAGGGTGAAATCTTCTGAAAGTTTGAAGAAAGGTTTCCACTATCGGGAGCACAAATTTGACTTTTGTAGAGAAAGGAGTTTGGAAGTTGTGAGCTGTTGAATAGGCGAGTGCACGATCGGCGTTTTTCTCAATATTTTAATTGGCAAATTGTCCTTGTGGACGTTGAAAGTTGAAAAGTTCGGAAGATTTTACTACTCGGAGCCCAAATTTGCCTTTTTTAGCTCAAGGAGTTTAGAAGTTGAATTATTTCAATTGTTTAACGTTATGACACTATACCGAGCTCAATAGATGGTTTAAAACACGTATTCTCCGGCTATTAGAAGGTGAAATAGAGCGCAAAGAAACATTTAATAAAAAAATTAGTGACACTATGCATCAGTCAATAGGTTTTTAAGAAAATTTTGATTATTTTCGCATTCACACAATTCGCTTTTTAAATCTTATCTCAAACCTTTCGGGTTCATTAATGTATTTCATAATCACAAGTGGTTTTTTTCAATTTACTTTCTGAGTGTTTTTCGTTTGAGATTCATTGACTTTTTGCGGTATTTCCAGGAACTGAATGAACATTTTACTATGCAATTTTCTGTCATCGTCAAAAGTTGCGGTGAAAAAGGCGATTTTCAACGTTTTTCCTGAATAACTTTTCACAAGAACACATAAATTTATGTAGTAATTTTGGATTGCCTTCAAAAGAAGCTTGAAATGTTAATGGGCCGATATCTCCACTCAGGATTAAATATTAGTTGAAATTTAAGTTAAAGTTAATCTAAAAATAATGGCAAAATTAAGCTTGCTCTACGATAAAATTGCGTGCAAAAATATATGCAAAGCGAATGATTTGCCCTTTGTATGCACTATTACGAAAAAACAAATGGAAACAATGGGTATCAGGAAGGAAATGCGCTAGTTTTCGTCTAAAGGAATCTCCATGCTGGAAGCAGGAACACAAAGCGCACAAAAAGCAGCAACGAAACGTAAAACTGCGGAAAATTGTTCAATCGGTAGGGAGAAAGAGGCGAATAACAATCATCGCGCTTTTGCAAATTCGGTGAATTGGGAACGTTTTCAGTGATTTGTTTTCAATCTGAACTGCGAGTGTTATCTTAATGGGGATGTTCTCTTGCAGAACACTTAAGATAAGGGTTAATTAGCAGTTGACTATATAAATCCGCCTGTCTGTTCAGCATCAATAAAGCACAGTGCATTGAGAAGAAATATCGCAGTAAATTTGTAACCGACAGTGATTAGTGTTAGTGTAGGAAATTTGGATTTGCGCTTAAAAAAATCATTTGCAGTTCAATGATGGCAGACCAAACCCGGCAGGTGGACCCCGTAACGGCTTTAAGCCTTCTGGAGTCGGCGTTGATAAACCGAAACGTTCCAATAGCCAAACACTACATATCCGACCTAACTGACCTGATTAAGAAGGACAATGCGCTAACGATACTGAACAGCATCAGCAAATGGATCCACAGTTCTGAGGCGGATCGGCAGCTCAACTTTGAGCCTTCTGCGCCCCCCCTAGTGGATAACGCCGCAGAGAGGAATGACTCTTGGGTAAGTGCAGCCAACAAGCGAAAAGCACCTTAATAACCTCAATTCGCTGTTTCTGATGCGTAGATGGAGGAGCCGCTCGGGGAACTTCGACATAAAATCCTGCAGAAAGTCCAGAAAAATGGGGATTTCTATCTCAAGCACAACGAGTTTCCCAAGTTGCACTATCAGGACGTTTTCGACATCACGACCAGCGACGATCTGCAAGTGTCCAACGAATTGGTCGTTTATTGTGCCATCATGTGCTGGGCAGAGGCAGAGTGCCAAAGAACAGGCCTGAGCACCGAGGACGTGAACATCAAAGCGGTGCTTAAGGATCTTATTTACGCGCCCAGGTAACAATCAACCGTTGGCGGGAGTACTGCTCGCTTCCCCCATTTTTAATTTATAAACTAAAATGGGCTTCAAAATTGCAGATATGGCTTGATGTCGAAAAAAGAGTTCAGCGCCCGTACTATCGAACACCATAAAGGGCCAGACCGAATCGGGATACAATCTGAGGTGAACGAAGAGATCATTCGCTTTATCAGCAACAAGAAGAGAATTAACAGAGCGCTACCGCACAAACTGTCCAAAGCGCGATCAAAGTCCGACGGCGAAGTTATGAAGGAAAAAGTCATCATAAATTGTTTAACATGTTTTACTGCGGTCTTTGATTGAGCCACAAGCTAAGGCAAGCGGTTGAAAACAACAAATTTGCGTCCCAACCCCCGGGGGAGCGGAAAATAAAAAAAAATGTTTGTTTATTTATCGTATGCATTTTAAGAAAAAAAATCCGACGATGAAAACGAACCATCAAGCGAACTTAATGCTTTAATGATGTATTTCTAACTATTGTTAAAAGTTGCGTAATTTTGTTGTTCTAAACACATTGTTATAGTATATGTAGATCACTATAAAAATCTTTAATTTAAATTAAATTATTACCGACCGAACCGTCGACTTTATGTCGCTTAAGGCACTAGTAATTATCGGAAACAACTTAAAGGTACGTCCACATTGAAGATGATTTTATAGCAAAAAATATATAAATATTCATCATAAACCACCCCTTTTCTCGCAAAACTGCTGCCATTAGGGCTTTTGACTCAGAGTACATTTTTTCTGTTGAAAACATAAATCTTCTAGAATACGTGTGGACATACACGTAAATGGTAAATATTGTGTCCTCTCGCTGTGATTTTAGATGTCAGTTGATATAAGTGTTAATTTGCCCTCTAGTGATATATTTTTATTCTTAGGCCTACTGAATTAAGCATCACCCTGCTCATTCTCATGCTAGAACTGTCGATGTTGAATGTCTATTAACAGCATGTTTGCATTTTTGCGTATTTTTAATAAAATCCAAAGTTTCCACTTGGGAACAATTATTGAATCCTTTTGCTGTTTATGAATGTTTAGAAAATTTTAAAATTGTTGACTTATATAATGAATTGTTTTCAAAGTTCTCTATCTATGTTTGAGATGTTTTATTAGCCAGTTGTAGTTAAACAAATTGAATTGTATTAAAAATTTACGAAATTATTCGCGTTCTTGCCTCGAAGTGATCGCATCGAGTTTCAAAAACGATCTTCTCAATTACGTGAAGCGTGAAGCAATCTCGTTTTTGCCATATAAGTGTTCTATTTTTTCGAATAGTTTGCATATTTACCTGAATAATAAAGTTTTTATGAAAGGAGAAAACTGGTTTGAATGCCCAAATAAAAAAAAACAATCGAAATCAGCCATTTCAATTTTTAGAAGAAACGTTGCAAACTAGGCCTGGCAATTTTTAGGGGTTGGCGCAGTGCTACGCAAATGGTTTGGTGCGCCACGCCAACGCACCGGCGCAGTAACTCAGTTCCGTTGCTGGGAAAATGTTGATGATTTTTTTTACTTGTTTTTAGATTTATTTTAAGGGCCATTACCGATAATATTTTAAACGTTTCCACAAAATTTCAGAATTTTTCATTCTTAGCAGTCACTCTTTTTTTTTTAAATACTGACAATCTTAAGGTATTTTTCACAAAAATGATTAAACTCCTTTTATTGAAACAATCGCCTCCTTCGTCGCTTTTGTAAAAAGTTTTGCAATCCCTTTCCAGCTTCGAATTTGGGACAAAAATCAAATAATTTTCGCTTGTTAAAAAAATGTGTTTTTTTAGTTTTGACTGCCTTTTTGCTTCACTTTCCACTCAAAAACGCTCTATTTTATAGAGTTTCACTTAAAAATACTGACGATTTGGAGGTCCTTTCCTCGAAAAACTACCAGATAAATCTATAGCTTTGTGGGAATTTTACAAAAACTTTTTTCAGCGTCGAATTCGGGACAAAAACGAAAATAAATTTGCCCCGTTTAAACCCGAAAATCATTAAGATTCTCTCCAAAACCGATCTTCTCTTTTATGCAAAAAAGTTAAAAGATGCATTTTCAAGAAAACTCGTCGTCTTTTCAGCTTTGAATTTGGCACAAAAACCGAATAATTTTATTCAGTTTTTTCACCGAAAGTAATTAAGATTATCTTGGAAAAATGGCCAGAGAAAAAACAAATATTTGGAACATTCGCCGCTGTTTCTTTAAAGTTTCTTTACAATTTCAGATCATTCCAGTTTTAGCAAATTTCTATTAAGCAATTCTTGCTACGCAAAAAAACGTATTATTTTGAGTTTTACTTAAAATACTGACCATCTTGATTGAAAAAGCGAAAACACTCGGTTCCTGGACAGCTTTGTCAATTTTTTCTGACCCCTTTTACAGCTTCGAATTTTGGACAAAACCCTAATAATTTTTTCTGGATTGTACCCCAAAATATTTCCCCGAACAGAACAAGTAAATGAACTGTGAATAATTAGGTTTATTTAAATTCCGGTTTCTTCACTTTTAGGTCAATATTTCTAAACAAAACTTTCTAAACAGAACAACACGTTTTTCCGGACGTTTTACTGTAAAGTACTGGCAAACTCAGACTCTTTTATGCAAAAAAGTTCAAAGATGGTATTTCAAGAAAACTCGTCGTCTTTACAGTTTGGTCTCCTTTATCGTCTTTTCCGATGCGCGTTTTACCTTTGAATTTGCGACAAAATCGAAACAAAGTTATAGTGTTTTTTGACAAAATTTAGGTTTCCTCAAAAACGACCAGATAAATCAACGCTTGGAAAACTCGTCACCCTCATCGCTCTGAATTTTTTAAAGTTTCTTCAAAATTTCCGGATTTTCCAGTTTTATACCAAAAAGCAATCGTATGCGCACAAGCATACGCAAATATATTGACGGTTTTTTTGTTAGATGTTAAAATTCCGCTATCGGCCATGAGTTATAACCCATTAACAAATTAGTTCAAACTCATTAACTCAGATAGCGGCAACAACTCAACACAGTGTTACTCAGGCTTAAAACCGACCACAGACTCTACAGACTATCCGCCATACGGTCCAAAACAATTTAAAAATCCCAGTTCCTCCACTTTTACATGAAGAATCCTCGCCTGGAATGAGCAGAAGCCGATGAGACCTGCACAATATGATTAGTGAACATTTCAACCAGAACATGACTCATTTTCTTCGCTTCTTCAACGATGAGCCATCAATAGGCCAGAGGCTTTCTCATCGCTCGTTAAACTCGCATAATCTGAATCAGATCTATTCAATGTGTATGACTATTATATGACGCATACGAAGAACCATTGACCCTGCCAAGCAAATTATGGTTGGTACTTATTGCATGCGAGTGCTACCATGCGGATGATCTGAGCTTTTCAATTGCAAAGAGCAATTGCGGATTTGGTTGTTTTACTATTTGCCATCAAAACATTGTAAACGATTTTTAAAAAATTCTTTAACCGTTTGATGTGCAGATCGATTGGAAATGTGACAATTATTCCCTCTAAATGGGCAAATATTTTACATTTTACATCACCATTTGGCAACTATTCAAGATAATCTATGAGTGTAGTGCGTAAAATTGACAAGATTTTGGAGAAAAATTTACAAATAGGTGCGATATGAATTGATGGTCGCACTTAATTAACGAAAATAATGCGTTTAGAATTGCAGAAAATTCGCATTTAAACTTGATATTCATCGAGTAATTGGCTCATTTAGTCATTGCTTGCTCTGATTTCCCAAACATGCTGAAGAAGTCCGGATAAATAATGGAAAAGACTTTGATACTACCAGAAGCAAATTTCCGAATTTAGCCTCATTTTCCGTGTAATCTACCAATTCGCTGTTGTATTAAAAAACCGGTTTTCTGCATATTTTTGGAGCACCTTCTTCATATTTGAGCAAATACATTAATTCGAGAAAGCTTGTCTGTCGCGCTTTGCTCCATTTAGAGTATTTTTCTAATCTCAAGTGCAGACACAATGGCTCTTTGTAAACCATATAAGGCCGCAAATGTCTTAATCTTAACAGACTTGCACTCGAAATGGATATTTGAGTACACTAGAACCGAGACAACAGGGACGGCTTTCAGACTCATCTAATCGCTCATTCAAAAAAAAACTTTACAAATCAGTTAGAAGAGTTGCAACCTCATGCTCCACGCAAATTGGATTCAACTGAACAATCCGAAAGGATCTGGGAGGGAAATTGGAAATTGAGACTTTTTTCTAACGGCTTAAACCGGCTCTGAACGAAACTTCTCGGTGCAAACTCACTACTACAAACTACAAAGAACAGGCCACGCCTTTTTATTGTGTCCTGAACAATTGCTGCGAAATAATGGCCCAATTATATCATAACTTCTGGTTATCTCCGGTGCTTTATTGCGGATAAGTGGATTGTAGTATTGTACTTAATTGACATAGTGTAGTGTCACTTCACGATTAAACCGCTGTGTTATCAAACTTTAATTTAGGTTTTTTCGCAAGTCATTTGACAATTTTTTCGCATTCAATGTTTCAAAAAAACTGTTTAAGTTCTAGCTATCATATATAAGTAACTCAAGCTCAGTTCCCTCATTTCTGTTCCGGAAATCTTAAGGGTGTGAAAGAATGAGATTTTTCAGTCTTAGCAGTCACTCTTTTTTTTTTTAAATACTGACAATCTTAAGGTATTTTTCACAAAAATTATTAAACTCCTTTTATTGAAACAATTGCCTCCTTCGTCGCTTTTGTAAAAAGTTTTGCAATCCCTTTCCAGCTTCGAATTTGGGACAAAAATCAAATAATTTTCGCTTGTTAAAAAAATGTGGTTTTTTAGTTTTGACTGACTTTTTGCTTTACTTTTCACTCAAAAACGCTCTATTTGAAACTCTTTCACTTAAAAATACTGACGATCTGGAGGATCTTTAATCGAAAAATTACCAGATAAATTGATAGCTTTGTAGGAATTTTACAAAAACTTTTTTCAGTGTCGAATTCGTGACAAAAACAAAAATAAATGTCTCACGTTTTCTCCGGAAAATCATTAATTCTTCTCTTCTTCTCTCCAAAACCGATCTTCTCTTTTATGCAAAAAAGTAAAAAGATACATTTTCAAGAAAACTTGTCGTCTTTTCAGCTTTGAATTTGGCCCAAAAACCAAATAATTGTATTCAGTTTTTTCACCGAAAGTAATTAAGATTATCTGGGAAAAATGGCCAGAGCAAAAAACAAATATTTGAAACATTCGCCGCTGTTTCTTTAAAGTGTCTTTACAATTTCAGGTCATTCCAGTTTTAACAAATTTCTATTAAGCAATTCTTGCTACGCAAAAAAACGTATTATTTTGAGTTTTACTTAAAATACTGACCATCTTCAGGTATTTTCTGTGAAAATTGATTGAAAAAGTGAAAACACTCGGTTCCTGAACAGCTTTGTCAATTTTTTTCTGGCCCCTTTTACAGCTTCAAATTTTGGACAAAACTCCAATAATTTTTTCTGAATTTTTCCCCAGAATATTTCCCCGAACAGAACAAGTAAAAGTTTATAATCAATTCGGAAAACTCGTCACTTTTGTCGCTGTGAATAATTTGGTTTATTTAAATTCCGGTTTCTTCACTAAAGAAAGGAAAACTTTGATCAAAATTTCAGTTGCAATCAACTCTTCCGGCCCTTTCTTCATTTATTTCAGTTTCCTCTTCGCTTTCGTTTTTTTCTCGAGTTTTCTCCATCAGATTGTTCCCATTTTGATGTTGATCATTTTACCGAACATGACGAAACTTACTAGGCAAACTCGTTCAATTTGGAGTAAAACAATGCCTCCAATAAACGCATTATTAATTTGAAACAAATCTGAACGACAAAGATTTGGATTTSSTGGGACYAAATGTACATTTTTATCACAYTTTTCGTGGCAAAACTTGGAAAATTATTCAACAATTAAAATTYGCACTTTGACTCAACTGCACGCTTTCCTTTAAAAGTTCATAACTTCTCATTTAGCGCAAGTAGCAACTTGAAACTTTCACACCCTATAGAAGACTCATGTGGTTGAAAGCGCTTAAATTTCCACTTCAATCGCACTAAAGTCTGATTTTTGACAACGGTGTGAAAATGGGTCAAAAATTCGCATTGAATATGTGATCACAGCAAAACACCCTTATTTTGCACGGTAAAAATCAGCATTATCACGTTTACTTCGTCAGATTGACCACAATCACCCCTTGTGGAAAAAGTCAGACAATCAAATTATGTTTGAAAATTGAACTCATCATTTTCTTTCGCGTAAAATAATGACTTGTTCCTAAGGCAAAGCCACGAACTCTTGCCTTCCATGCCCAC